CATTCTCTGAAGTAACAGGTTAGGATCAAGTTGATCTTGGTACCAGACACTGGACACTTAATAGTTTGAAATATTACAGAGTGTCTTCTGTCCTGTTTTTCTTCTTGCTTTCTCTATTCTGCTTTAAATTGTCTGATGTTCATTGTTCTGCTCAATAAAACAGCAGAGCTGGTCTCACGTTGCAGAGGATAGCAGAGACAAGTCGCAGCTTTCAGGCAGAGCTTGTCTTTGAAGGTTGCTTGATCTAGTTCAAAAGAGGAAACTCTAGTTTTGTTTGTCTGCTTCAAAACCTGTATGCAATGTGAGGACACAGCACATTTTAACTTGAAAATAACCACTGTTGAAATATTATTTCTTAAGATCATAAAAGTACAATTAAAAACAAATAAGAGTCATTACACAGTACCAGCTTGCACAGTTCTTAGTTCACACTTGGCCGTCTCAAAGTTCAGATATAGTGCAGATGACAGTCACGTCTCTTATGTCATCTGGAGATCCTTCTTCAAGCAGAAATACTTCGTTCTTGTTCCCAGAGTTAAACAGACTGTCCTGCTTCCAGGGGGCTGAGAATGACAATACTGATCTCCATGCATTGGTGTCCCTGCATGTGGAGGTTTGTCTTCGCAGTGGGAGTATTTCTAGATATTTGCTTTCTTTTTGCCTTCAGAGGTGGTAACTGCGACCAGTACTGCTATTTTCTCTTTGTTTTTATGGATGCCATGATGTCTTGGCCTTTCCCTTTAGTCTTTGTTTCTGGGTTGATCTGTTGTATCTCGCTGTTGCCCTCAGCTGCATACTCTCCTTCTTACTGTGTTGGTCCAGTGCTGATTGCTGTGGACTACGGTAGAAAATCAGTAAATGGAAGCTTTTCCTAATTGTGCACCTATACAGTTAGCTTGTGTTCTAGAAGGTGCTATCAGCTTACTGCTTTTTCTTCATGATGTACCACCATCCTTTATACTGCTGTGTCATGCATACCTTCAGATCATTTGTGGAGAAACTCTTGTCCTGTTGACTTGGGCAGTACTTTCTTCCTGTCCAAGCTTAGTGCCCTTCCTTGGTACTCTACAGCTGATGCGTCAACAGACTTGAAGAAAAATGGCATGAAGAAGTAAATTTGCTGTTTCCAAAACTGCTTTTCTTGCGCTCAATTCTTAAATTAAGAGCTTTCCTAAAGCCACTGTTTTTGAATGGCATCTTTGCATACACTGACACGTTATGGTACTACTTGCTAGAAATACTGCTAGCTGAATGCTAGAGTGTACATCCTGTTGTACTCTTGACAGATACATTGTCTTCGTGCAGATTGCATAGGCAGTTGTTGGGTCAGGTTCTGATACCAATCCTAGCATGGTGATGTTTGTGAGGTGGGAGAAGCCTTTAACTGTTCTGTAAGTGGTAGTAGCAGTGGCTGCCTTGTTGCATCCTTTAAAGCCTCTCAAACTTGGAACAGTTGTCTTGTAATTCCTTGTGAAAGGTCCTCCAGCAGTGGTCATTTGGGTTCCTGGGAGTGACTGGTGAATAGAATTACTGATCTTTGGGGATTTATGCTCCTGAAAGCAAGTTGAAGGAAATCTTGGTATGACAACTCTCGTTCTGGAGAAACCGCACCTCATCTCAGCTAGAATGTTGAAAAGTACTGTGCTGGTTTCAGCAAATGAAGACAATGAATTACTCTAGCAGCGTCATTGGAAAGAATGTGGCACAGACTCAAGCTCTTCATTTTGCTTTTCTCGGGGTATGACTGCAGAGATGGACTGAGTGCAGCAATTGAGGCTGTTGGAGCAAGCCATTGCCAGCCGTGGCAACACTGGGAGAAGCACTTTCTGGGAATTGTTAATCTTTTCTTGTAGCTTTGAAGATTTTTTCTTTTTTTTTTTTTTTTAATTAAGGATAATTCTATTTCTTGCTTTATAGGAAGTAATTCTGAGAGAGAGTTTGTATGTCTCAAGTGTCCTGTCATACCCCGCTATGTGTTATGCAGCACCTTTTAGCTATCTGATCTTGTGGGACAGCTTTTTTCCTCAGTATAATGCAAAAAGAATGAGGTGGGACTTATTTTATAGTGATTTATATGCTTATTTGTGATGTAGTTTTCCCCTTTTACTATGAAAATAATATTACAATCACCTTCAAGACATTTAATATTTTTTTTTTTAGGATAAGGCAATTAAACATCGTAAATGGAAGTAAAAATGGGATTAAGTGGATAGTGCAAAATTACGGCTCACGTTGAAACAAGTACATAATAATTCAAACTAGGTATCGCTCAGCTTTTTACTGTGTAATCTCATGAAAGTGGGAAAGGTTTTACTAATGTTATTGAATGTGGAATACAAGTTAAATTGAGTTTATGGTACAGCTTAGATTAATGAATTGAGTTTAGGACTTGATCTCTTTTTAGGACTATAGCCAGCACTAGTGTTTCTCTGTGTTCCAATCTCTCAGTCTTTCTATTCAGTTCCAAGAATATGGCAGGATTAAATTACCGTTTTGCTTTTTAGAAGGGCGTTTAATTGAAAAGCCTTCTGCTGACAGTTCTTAAAGGATATGAGATGTTAAAACCTTTCCGGAGTACTCCATAATGGAAGATCCAAATCAGTGGATTTCTCAGTCAGAAATTTCTCCCCACTCTGAATTCAGCACTTACTTAGCTAGTATCCAGACAGGTTCTATATCCTGAATCTCTTCAGTGACATCCACTGCTTAACTAAAACTGTGGACACGCTAGCCCTGGTCTCTAGGGTAGTCCCTGGCTCCTGTTGTCCCGGGCAGGAAAGACACTGTTTTGAAACGATATACATTGAGTACCATTCTCAGTATGTGTTAAGAAGAGTAATATGTAATATTAAGTTGTTTCAAGATAGACTGCTTTCTGACTGTGACATGACGTACTGTAATTATATAGACACTAACTCAGTGTAGATATGCCTTACCTGCTATTACACCTTTCTTGGCATATGAGTGCATCTTCCTTACTGCTGACTTCAGCAATGTCTGTGATGTAGCACTAGCAACAGTATTTGTTCTATTTGCGGTGAAAATAGTACAGCAAGCTTCGGTTCAACTCATGTGGTGCATATTGCCTCATTGATTTGTTAATTATTCTGGTACTGTCTTGCCTAGTACATGGTACTAAAATGGAATTGATCACAAAAGTAATATTTTACTAATAATAATTTCACTGTGCTGTGTGTTTTTGGTTTTTTTTTTGTTTACATGTAGTATTAGGATAGCTTGTAGATTCCCTCAGATTTGCAAAAATCATTGTCATGTGTACTTCTGTTTATACAAGAAAAAAATCCATCTTTTAGACTTTCTAATCTCCCAGTAATTTCAAGTGGTCTCTCTGCACTTATTCCAAGTTTGATTAATCCTTCATAAAGATGAATGATAAGAATTGAAAATAATATTTTAGATGAGATTTCATCAGTGCCTTGCATGAGAACACTAATGTTACCCTATCCCAACAAGATGCATTTTGTATATGTGTAAGATTCCTGGGTTTGTTGGAATAAGTCATGAATTTGCTCTTTCATTTATTTAGTGTTTGGATTTTTCATACTTGTTCCTCCTTTGCAGAGAGATGTCTTTCTGAAGCTTGAAGTTTTCTGTTTGTTTTCACTTGTTGAATGCAGTTCTGTGAATGGAGATTAACTATACATTTTGATAATTAATTCAGAAAGCACGCTGTCTTAGTAAAGTTTCTTAGAAATATCAAACCAAATGAGGATTTCTGTTGATGGAGTAAGTTAATTTCAGCATCTCCTATCAAAGAGTTTTCCTCTTTTGGTTAAGAGATCTTTGTACTTGAAATCTGTGGTGCTGCTACTGAAAGCTGCTTGCACATCTTTCCTAAGCCTCTTTTTTTGTTTTTGGTTTTTTTTTTCTTTTTTTCTTTCTTTTTTTTTTTTTTTTTTTTTTTTTTTTTTTCTTCCTGACTAGCCTTTAGACATACAGACATACAGTTTGGGTTGAAGTTGCTCTTTGAGAGGCATTCTTTTAGCAGCCATGCCAGCTTATGCAGCTTCTGCTGCTTGATGCTGCATCCTTAATTGTGCTAGTAAAACTGCTTATGCAGCTGCTCATTAAAGAGGATCAGGGAACTGAACTTGGTTAAGAATAATCAAATTTAGTTACTTTTTTGCCTTACTGCTTTTAAGCTGGATCATTTCAATGGGCAGCTTTGCTGAATGGCCTGCAGTCACATTGATGCAAATGGGTGGATAATATTATGATAGGAATGAACTGCTTAAGGCTTTCTTTTAGGAGCTTATAAAAGAAAAAAACCCACAAACCAACAGCACACCAACCCACCACAATTCCTTTTTTAAATAGGGCTGTTCACTTCCCTGCTTAGAAAAATGTCTGTTAGGCAAAAAAAATACTCAAAGTGGTATAGACTTGTATAAATGTAGAACCTCCTCCCAAACTCCCCAACAAATGAAACAACTTTGTAGCAGCTTAGACTTTTCCAGACTTGTTTGTTATGTAGACTCAAGGTCTTTCCTACTCGATAGTAGTGGAGAGTCTTTATAGGTTTAGTAATCCTATGTTAAATGCATTAATAGTTATTGGAGCTCTGCTTATGTCATCCCAAGCGCCATATAATGCAAGAACATGAGAATATTCAGGGTGCTAGGGCTAAGGGATGACCTGATTGCTGACTGTAACTATGCGATTAGAGATTACAGACAATATGGAACTAGGCTTTTCTCAGAGGTGCCCAGTGATAGGATGAAAGACTGTGTATACAAGCTAGATGGGCTTCAACTATTATTCTGTGATTTTATACCTCTGGGAACACCAATGGCAGCAAGAAAATTGCTCTCCCTTGCTTTTCAAGTTAAAAGAATACAGTATGCAACTGGAATGTCCTTTTAGTGCTGCTTATTTCGTTCATCTGCTAACTTATTTCTACTGAAGCTGTAGTAATATGTCAGAATGATGTTTCGGTGTACTACATATCTGACGTGAATTTTTTTTTTCTTCAGCAAATTTGACAGGCCATGCAGAGAAAGTTGGCATTGAAAACTTTGAACTCCTGAAAGTTCTTGGAACAGGGGGTAAGATGCACTATTTTTCTAAGTTGAATGTTGGAAGTGTAGTTTTGTTTTCTAGCTGGGGTTTTGGTAATTGAAACGTTCTTTAGGAAGATATACCACTTTTGTATTGCATAGCATAATTTTCTTCATTTTTTTGTGACAAATATTGTGCAAAATTGGAGGTCACATGTTCTACCTTCTAGCACTTTTGAAGATGCACTTTTCCAAAAAAGTGGAAAATAAATGGCTTGAGATTTGTGGCAATTTAATACAGTTTGTGAAAAATCTGATCTAAGTTAAGGCGTGATCTTGATAATTTAATTAAATTTTCAGACTATGTTTTCATGAGTTTCTGGGAAAAAACAGTAATGTTAGTACATTATTGAATAGGATGCTCCACTCTTTAACTATATGTTTTAGAGTTGGCACTGGCTCTGCTAGTTTTTTTGCCCTATTCAAATCCCAGTAATTTTTAAGATGGAAAATGTTCGCTGTTGTATTGTGGATTTCAGCACAATGTTGGAGATTTGTAGGATGTTGTAGGATTGCTGACTGTAACCAACAAAAAAAGCTTTGTTCCTCATTTGTTAAAGGCACACACATAGAGGCCCGTACACAGACCAAAAGTAATGGCTTTTATTCTTCTTAGTGTGTTTACGCTTTTTTTTTTGTCAGTATTAACATCAGATGCAGTGTTGAGTAGATTGGGATAATCATGAAGGTGGTCTATTATCAAGGTCTGTAGAAGTTAAAGTTAGTTATAATACTAAATTTTGGGTGTTATCCGCCATTAACGGCTAGCAGTGAGGCTATAATTGCACAAGCTGCTCCATGACTGAAAAGAGCAAAGGGTTTTGATTTTCACATTTAGCTGTCATACAGATTCTTTCATAAATTCATTAAGCCACTAAATCACCTGAGAGTATATTTTTCTGTTTCTGAAGTAATTTTTTTAAAACTTAAATTTAACAGACTTAACAATTCAACCCTTGCTATTAAATTTCAGTAGTTAGCGGTAGAGACAAGGAAGCTTTAATATTCATAGGTATATGTTGCGTATTCATAGGTAGAAGCAGCTATGCTCTTCTGAAGTGGTCAGTATTGATCTGAGTGGGGTTGACAAAAATGAAATTACTTATGATTTTGCATTTATGTGAGGATGTCTTTCTCTCCTGCTGATGGAAACGTTGGCTGGATTTTTAATTATTCGCACGTGTGTGTATATGACAACTAGTCCCATACCTGAATTTTTTCCTTTTTCCTTACCACTGCCATTAGTCTGAGATCACCTTAATATTACAACTACTGCATTTGGAATACAAAGTAAGTTTTGGTGGTTTCATAAGTGTCTGTCTTCAAGTTCAGACTAGTAGTAGCCTGACCTCCTTCTACTGTCTTTAGGTAATACCTCTGAAATACCCCTTTTGTGTCTGTCATTCATTGCTACCTTCTGTGCCCTCTCTTCATGAACAATTAGCCAAATTGCTTTTGGCCTGGGATACTCTTAAGCACAGCAGGTATTCCTTAGGCTCATAGTGCAAAGCTATCCTATTCATTCAGGTTAGCAGGGTAATTTTTATGAGTGACCCCTTTTGGAAAAGGTTACTTCAATGGCTTGACAATGGGATTGACAGTATGTATATCTGTGAAGAAAGAAAAGCTGAGGAAGCGTGCCTGTCTGTCTTCATCCTGCTCTAGTAGTCATGTTGCTCCAGAAACATCTTCTGTCTTAGTAGACTTCAAGACTATTTCAAGAACTGACTGAAAGATTCCTGCAAACTTTAGGAATCCAGAGACACCTTGGGTATCCTGGAATGGCATTTGTAGGAAGAGTAGTGGTTTTTTTGTCAAGGAAATGCTAGCTGCACTTGTTTAATATGTAATTTCAGTCATGGCCTGAGGTTCTTGCTTGGGAAATCTAGACCATCAGAGCAGTCAAGAAGCTTTGTTCAGTCTTAAGCATATCACAGCTAAGACTGGTGCACTAGGTGTGTCAGAGGCTGTTGCTTGCCAATTACTGGACAGCATTTAATGCAAATAACCTGATCAGAATGGAGCTAGTTCTGTTTGCTTTTGGGGAAGTGACCATCTGTGAATTGTCAGTGTTTGCAGTAACATGGAATTGCTGAAAACAGGACTGGAATGGACTTGAAGAGGTCCTCTAATTGCTTGGCCCAAGACACAGTCAGTTATACCTGCATCATCCCTGACGACAATTCGTTCTTAAAAGCCTCCAGTAGTAGAGATTCTGCAACCTTCCTAGATGTTCTTGCTGAGGATGTTTAATTTCCTAGCTTGAGAAGCATTCTGGGGACTGCAATAAGCAAAAATCCCCTCTCATCCTTGCAAGAGGCTTCTGAAAGAACATTATTTCACAATAGGATATACCTGTGTTAAGGCATTACTTCTGTAAATATCATCCAACAAAATTTTGATGCAGCTCTGAACACCATCTCCACTTTCAGTGTATTTCTAACTGTTATGGTCAGAAGAGTTTCTGTGTCCTTTTCATTGACTTGACAGAGCAGAACAGAAACTGAAGCAAGATATTGGCCATTTGGCTAAGATGATCCTGAAATGTTCTACTGTGAAATAAATTTTTGTGAGTGTTGGGCCTGCTGTTACAGAACCACAGAGAACTTGTACAAATTGACTCTGGTGCTGTTAGTTTAATAACATACAAACCCCTTCATAAAAACTTAGTTTTTAGGAAGTTCTAGAACTGCTTTGTTGATAGCAAGAATTGTTGTGTAAGCACTCCATCTTAAGTATGGAAAACCAACTTAAATGCTGTAGACCGTGCAGTATCGGCTGCATGTGAGAAGTCTGGGGCTATACATTTAGTTATTTAGCTATCTTACTGACTATGTTTTTCCTGTGCAATGTACCTTGCTTTTTTCCTCACAACTTCTATAGCAAAGAGATTATTTTTCAAAAACTTGGTAAGACACTAATCACCTGTTTGCATGCAAACTTTGCTTCAAGATCCTAAGTGTGTTGTGTCATGAGTTGTGGGGTCCTGTTTAGGCTTGCAACTTCTTGTTCTCATACTTTAATTGAGGTTGGAGGAGTGAGTATGACTACTCTGACTACTCAGTTCTTTGTAGCAGAATATATGTTTACTTGGGGGAATGAGAAGAAGCATAAATAAACCCATCTATAATCACAGTAACATTAGTCAGAAATATTTGGAATAGCAGGATCTTACTGCAGACTTGTCTTAAATGATACTGTACAAGAGTAAGGCCTCATTTAGAACTTGTGCTCTCTTGTCTGCATTTCAATTGTCGTCCTTAGTCTTGCTCTCAAAAAATGAGGAAAGATTTCAGAAGATATTTGCATGCCTTCTCTATTGATACGTAAGAGTCTGAATTATCTTGTTCTGTAGTTTTTATTCTATTAGAATAAGAAGGGAGGATATTTTCTTCAACGTATATCTGACTAATTTTTATCTATGTATAGTTGGCAATCTAATTGTGGTGAAGCTAAATGCTGTCCCTCTAAACAGTAACTGCCTGTTGGCTAGGTTGCAAGTTGCAGGTGTGTATTAGATGCCTTTTACCTTTCAGCCAGAAAAAAAAAGTGATAATTTCATTATTTCAGCAATTTGAAATATTTCAAGTATTTTCAAGTGGGGGGGGGGAGGGTTGCTCTGTTTTTTCTTCTGTTGTTTTTTTCTTTTTCCTTCATTTTTAATCAGGGTCTGTGGGGAAGGCAGGGTGATTCCGAGAACTTAGAGACCTCTCCAAACAGCCATTGTATCTCCATTAGTGACTTGCCCCCAAATTATGGGCAGGATGATAAGAGAACCGTGGTGTTTTGGTTTTGGGGTGTTGGGTATTTTTGACAATTCTGAGAAATTTTCTGTTCTTTTACACTAGTAAATTCTATGAAGTTGAAGATGGGGCTGGAGGTTGAGGTCATCTCAGACAAATTGATTCACAGAGAGAAAAGGCATACTATTGCTTTTTTGGGAGCAATTTAAAGAAAAATGAGGAAGAGGGCATCTGATGGCTTCTGTTTACATGTTGCTGTGTATTTTTAGGCAAGAGCTATCTTTACTCTGGCAGTGAAAGCCTTATCCTGGTGTGAGCTTTTAGGTATTACTGATATTAGTGTAATATAGGTAATGCTAAATAAAAGCTGTGATGCTGTTTTAAAATTCTTCACTATGGAGTTACGCAGCATGCAAAGTGTATTCAAACTATCTGGTACTTAAATGATCTACAGTAGTGCAAGGCAGAATATATTGAAACCTTGCAGTCATATGAAATGATGACTGTGGATGGTATTTTAACTTATTACTGTATTTTAAATATAGTCTGCTATGAAGCAATTGGAATAACTAAAGAAGATACTCAAAATATTAAATTAAAAGATACCTTGCTTAAGTATATGTAATTGTGGTAGTTTCGTATAGACCTGGTGGTGGTTTTTTTCAAGTAACAGCAGTAAAGGTTTATTTAAATTTTCATTTTTAAGTTTTATTTTTTAAAAAGACAAAAATTAAGATTGTTAGAAATAGTATCCTTGTGTACTGATGTTTCTCCTGTGGAAGTGATTTTTTTTTTTTTTTTTTGTGATAACATTTTCTTCACACTGTGACTTAGCATAATTTCATACTTATTTTCTTTTATTTGCATTTCTTTCTTTCTTGCATTCCTTTATGTCTGGTTTGTTCTTGTACACCCTTTCTCAATTGGAAGCATGCTTGTTATATTTTGCTTTTTGGTGTTAAAAGAATATCAGAGTATACACGTACCTTTTTTGACCTGAGTCTCACAGGAAAAGACAAGGAAGCAAAAATCTGATTTAGTAGCCTTTTAATCTGAGTTGGACCCTTTTACATTGCATTAAGGAGCTATTAATAGAATAAACTTCCTCACTGAAGAAATCAGTAACACTTTACATCAGTAAAACAAAATATGTGACAGTATCCCACTGTTAATAAAGCTATTAATAATGTACTTGTTGATCTGGGAGCAAATTATTGCTTACTTGACTTCTTTGACTTGCCTGTG